CTTATTCAACGCCAGCCATGTTTACAACAAATAAGCGGTTGCTTTCTTGCAAAGAAGCGTTGAATCATGGGTCGGAATTCAAAATATTATGGGATACGTGTCGATCGCAGATCGCAGAACTTTGGTTTCCATATGATCGCACGATCGCAATTGATCGCAGACGATCGCAGAAGTATGTTTCCATATGATCGCAGACGATCGCAAAACTATTTGCGATCCGCGATCCGCGATCGTCTGCGATCATATGGAAACCAGCCTTTAGATTAAGACAGATGTAGACTGTGAAGTTAATAAGTAGAGTCCATGTTGCCATGATTCTGTTTAGTAATAGATCACAGATGTGGTAAGAACAAAAAAGTGGCACGCGAGTCGTTAGGCGAGTGTGTCACTGATGTTCTTATCACATTTGGACGTCTTCTGTGATGAATTACTGAACAGGCGCACAGTAACAAGAAATCTATTTGCTTTTATACAACAAAGAAACAAAAAAGATATGTTACCTGGAGGGATGGAAATATAATGGGAAAATTGGGCTCTAAGTCTAGACGTGAAATCAATACATTTTATGTCCCCCTTCCAAGGCAATACCTTTTGCACCTGGTCTGTGCTCTGCTTGAAGAATGAGGATACTTTCTACGGCTCCGACAGCGTGTTCTGACAAAGCCTCATCTCCCTCGGGCCACAGCAGCTCTGACGAAACGAAAACGAAACGTTATCATGTTATGTCTGGTACTAAGATGCCTTGTAGCCTAGCAAAAGTGCTTCCTAAAAACATTACTCCACACAAAAACGGTTTGTGTGCCGGAAGGTAATTTTCGAACCGAATCGAATTTGTCCAGGCCAATTTACTGTTCATATGAAAATTCAACTCTCGATATGCAAGACTGTGAAGAAAAAATCGGATATTCTACTGAAGTGTTCAGGACTATACATATGGATTACACGTTTCAAAATGGCACTTTTTATTTCGCCATCTTCCATTCGCATTTGGAAGCCCTCGGTCAGCGGGGACGATCAAAAAAGCCGGCAGACTAAAAAGAAAAACAACAACAACAACAACAACAAGCGGAGCGAGAGAGAGAAATAGAGAAGGTCTACCCGGCCTTTTCTGAGGTTTGAGACGCGCAGGCACTTAAGATACTTCCGCTTACCTCTCTCCATGATGTGACTGAAGACAAGTTCTGGTGTGTCATCATTAAACGGCGGCACTCCTGTTAGAAACTCGTACAGACAAACCCCGAGGGACCACCAGTCCACTGCTGGTGCTGGAAAGACGAGATCAGAATAGAAATTCTCATTAACGATCAGCATACATTTCTTTTAACGTTACTTCTAAGGCACCGTCCACACTAAGCCAGAAGAATTTGAAAACGGAGGTTTATTTCTACGTTAGGCCTACCGTCCACAGTAATACGTCACGAAAACGGCGCTTCTCGAAAACGCTCTTCAAACCGGAGGAATCTGAAAACACCGGCTTTTCATTTTCGTGTGGATGGAAAACATTTTGAAAACGGAGCTTTGCAAAAACGATGGCGTCATGGCGTCGGCGATTATTGCGTTTTCAAATTCCTCTGGCGTAGTGTAGTGTGGACGGAAACGATTTGATGCGTTTTAAGATTGAAAACTCCTTTTTCAAATTTCTCCGGCGTAGTGTACACGGGGCCTGAGATTTGAGAGAAGACGGTTTTTCTTATTCCTATTTATATTCACGACTCGTACAAACCTCATATACCGACGGGTAAATATTTGCATTCTGTCACTGTCGCTTACAGTTTAGTTCCGCCGAATGTAAACACATTTCTCGTTTACTAAGAGCTTGACAAGGTTTACACCAGCAACAAGTAACAAGTAGCTGAATAGTTGTCGCTAGATTATGAATGAACTACAAGCAGTAAATAAAAAGTTGAGGACGTCAGCGTAAAACCATGAAGGGATTTTGTCATGACACCGTGATAGGCACCAGAAGGGAATTTACGCAAACCACAACGAGAACTGAACGAAGGAAGGATAAATAGCAGTTAAAAGGCTTCGGACGTGCATTGCACATAGTGGTATATCATTTTCTTAGCAGTAGTCTGCAAAAAAACAGCTTGCAATCACCAAATTCTGCGTTTATGACTTCTTGTCTCGAGAAATGCAAAAATGCGCTCCGGCTAAAATAGCAGATTTGCGCGATATCCTCACGTGACTACAACCACCAGAATTCCTTCCGCTTTTTCTTTATTACTTAAATTTAAAAACCCCAGTGGATTTAAATTGCAATTGCTCAAATTAGCATAAGAAACAGAAAAAGTGAAGGATTCTGGTAGTTGTGGCAAAATGATGCCAACATGCAAATCGCATATTGCAAAAAATTGCCAAGTCTTTGCCAATCATCGATAAATCACTTTCATGTCTTTCATTCATGGTAACAATTTTCGCCATACAATGCTATATCATTCCTTTGGTTTTCTTAGCGTTAAACGCGTTTCCCGAGTCTCTCCCACCCAACAGCAATATTTAATTTAACTTACTGTGCTCGTTTCCCAGCAGGATTTCTGGCGCCAGGTAGTCAGGCGTGCCCAGGATTCTATTCTTGGGTGGTGAGGATGGAGGTCGATTTCCTCGTCTACACGACTTCGGAGTCCGAAATGGGGTACGCATGAGAGGTGCTGAGGTGTGGTGCCACTGGTGGGACACCTCCATTGGACCCGGTGTACTTTTGGAACTAGCGCAACTTTTGAACGTGACGTCCATGGGCGAATTGGAAGCAACGGGCAGGCTTATGTCCATATGCGAGTCTGGCGTGCGATTTAAATTCCCTTCCTCGACAGTGTGCTTTTGGTCACTCGAAGGACCATTCACAAAAACCTCGCCTCCGGCAGACTTTTTAGCCACTGCTTGTTCGACTTTAATTTCTCGCACGTCTTCTTTGTCTTCGAATTCAATTGTTATGCTTCTTTCACGGGGAATGGCGTGGCCAACCTTCGAAGGTAAGCCAAATGGCGATAACAAACCAGCTTCTTTCGCAACATCGGCAGTAATCGTTTCAAGATGCGCGTTTTTGTCGACCACACTTGGTGAAGGCGGGAGTAATGAGATCCCACTCTCACGCCTTCTCAACAAACCAACTGTTTGCATAATTTCGTCTGAAATTTCAATTTTCGCTTTATTCGGAGTCTGAATTTTCTCTTTCTTTTCACCTGGATCTTGACTTGGCCAGTTATCACAGTGGCTTTCATTGAAGCCTGAACTTCCAGTTGTATCTGCTTTGTCACTGGTCAGCCTAACAAAATTGTGGATTCTGTCTGCAAAATCACAGGCGCGAGCCAATTTCTCGCTTCTGACTAGGTCGTTGTTCTCTTCGATAGATAACTCGCTTAAAGCTTTATCCGGAGATTCCCGGTCGATTGCACTTTCTTCTTCACACGAGCTATTCGTTCCGCTAGCATAGCCTGAAGTAAAAGGCACTTCGGGGGACACAATTCTACGTGTCACAGACGTCAAAGGTGTTAAAGTACTGATGGCTTGTCCTGTCTCCGAGCCCTCATGCTTTGCAGGGGTGACTTGCCCTTTCTCGCTCAAAAACTCGAGAATGGTCCCACTTCGTTCACGAGGACTGGAAAATGTAAGACTTAACGGTGCACAAGGTGAAGGGTTCGACGGAGTGAGAAATTCCTGCCTGCTTGGCGGGCTCCCTTCATTGCTCTTCGAGAGAGGGCTTTCATATTTACATTCCATTGGGCTGTTGTGCCTGACAGACAAACTCAAAACAGGTGCATAAGAGGATACAGAATCCATCGATAACGGAGCAGCAGCTATGTCCAAAGGCCTCTGTGGTGTACAAGCGCTAATCTCCTGTAACGGACACCTCGATGAATCGTCTCCCGAGGCTCCTCGTAGACCTTTGAGTGTTAACGCATCTATTTCACCGGTGAGACCTGTGTGTCGAGGTCGTTTTGAAGCTGGCATTTGATTCTCCTCTTCAGGTGATCTGTTTCTGACATTTTTGTGTGCCATCAATTTGGGTACAAGAGGCGTTTCAGGAGGGTCATCGACGTGAAATGTTCTTTGGCTGACTTTGGGACAGAATTGGGTTCGCTTTTTCGTGCCCTGAGCTGCAAAAGATCAGTAAACATAAGATGTTACCATACTTGTCCCCAGATCTATCTGCCTGTTACTTTTAGGCTGAGGGGGCACGGGGAACAAAATGTTGACCTTGATAATTCAACTGCATTAACTATCCGCTTTTGACCTGTTTTCATTTTCCAATGTTCTGATCTACAGTTTATCATCAGGGAAAGAACTTGAACTCTTTTCTCTAGGCACTCGAAATAACTCCCTCCCCCCCTCTAACTCTTGCTTATTCGGAGTCCCAAGAGTTTAATCCTTGAATAGCTTATATGCTACACCCCTCCCCTAACCCATTGTTCCACTGTTAACAGAACTGTTTGCCAGCTTCGTACATGTCACCCCAATCAAAACTGGTACAACGTTTTTAAAGTTAGTGTTGATCAAAAACAAACAGCCAGCTGGTAATGAAATAGGAAAACCAAGCCTCTTTTCTTTAATATCATTAATGTCAGTGTAATTTATGCGATGCAATGGTCTTTGTTGGGGTGACATCTCCTTGCATACGGCAGGTGTGCGCCCGAAATTTGAATTGACCAATCAAGATTCAGCAGACGGCAAAAGCTGTACTGTCCTGACGTCAATGTAAGTTAACAAGGTATCGAAAGGTATCGAAGTCGGGCAACTTTTCTCATTGGAGACACCATTTACTATCCACGAAAAGGGACTTATAATTCAAAAAACCATATCAGACTGTAAAGAGTAAAAAATAGAAACATTTTGTGTCTCCAAGCTTTTAATTTGGGGCCGAAAATGGATCGGTTACTCGCTGTTCGATCGCTGTCGCCAGGAAGGATAATTGTTGAATCGTTTTAAACAAAATAATTATGCTGATCCTCGTCAAATTAAACCCAGATTTCGCGAGTTTAGCATTAGAAGAGGTCAAAGCAATTTAGCAATGTCCATATTTTTTTTTGTTAGCCGCAAAGAAAAAGACTATTGGTAATTTTAATTTGAAAACGATCTCTGGCTGAAACGATTAAAAAATCACAAGCTTTCGACTGCCTGAATCACAGTCTTCGACGGGTAAGAACATTTTACCCGTCGAGGACTGTAGTTCAGGCAGTCGAAAGCTTGTAATTTTTAATCGTTTCAGCCAGAGATCGTTTTTAAATTTTACCATGTGTTATCCTGGCTGCGGCCCTTCAATATTTTCAAAAAGACCATTATCGTGTCATTTCGGCAGGACAGCTCGGTTTTGACTACCGCTTGTTCTGCGAGCACAGACACCGTATGCATGACTTTCTTAAAATGGTAAGGTGCGTCAAAATGCACAAATTGTGCGTTGCGATGTCATTGTTTATTATTGGAATTTTAGCTCACCTCCAGTTGCAGCAAGAGGGGTCTGACCACCAGGTGGTTCCAATACCCCTGCGGGGGATCCTTCGGTGCGACTGACTGAAGAGCCATTCCTCAAGGGTGTGGTTTCCATGTGTTGGTGTAATGTTGTACAGCTGCTGTTAAGCCTCGATTTCTGTGATGGCCTCGCTGCAGACAAGGACTGAGGAAAGAACAAGAAATGTGAATCTACTTGAGCCTAATGCTCTTTTGTAGTAAGAAAGAGAAATACATGTAAAGACCATCAGAAGTATTTTCAGGCTTAAGCCGGTCTCTCTCTCACAATGGATTATGGACAAGTATCATGTTTCAGCCGGCCAAAGTTTTCTTTCGGTTTTCTGTCGCTGCAACAGTCAAGATTTTATGTGACGTATCATACTGGATATATACTATAAGCTAGCCCACCATAAAAACAATTAAGTTGCACTCCTTTGGGAAACAAGTTCTATTTTCCGCAAACAACTCCTTATGGAAAAACTCTACAGAGGGACTGTGCAAGGTAAGATCTCAATATGCAAAGAGCCAGTTTCCCAGGTGTGAGTAAACAGTTTCTTATGTGCCACGTTAGGATTTCATGAGACAAAAAGAGTAAAAGATGAGCGATCAGAGAGTGGAGATTGGACAAAACTACTTACGAATGTGAAATTTGAAGTTAGTGATAGCACTTGGCCTGGAGTTCTGAAGAAATTTGACCCAGTCTTGTCAGCTTTATTCAAAGATGGCGTACTCATGACATCAATAAAGCTCGGCTCTGTATGCAGAATTTTAAAAATGATATACATTTAGTAACTCTGTGCACACTAGCTCTTCCCATGGCATTTTAGAAGGAATGCTTTGTCCTTGACGTGGTTTACAGGCTGTCTGGGAATAATTATGAAGTTTAACTTTGACTCGCTGTCTGTGATTTACCAAGCATTACATTATTGACAGTAATGCCTGCAAACATTCCACAAGTTTAATCTGTTGCTTTGTACTGTAGATCAACAAGTCATCTATCACGAATGCCGTTCTTTTACTACTCAATTCCTGAGCAGAAATGTTTCGCTTTTTGAGCTCAGCTATTGCAGTTCGACTTGAGGGCAATTCTTAAAGCATAGCAGGACTCTTAAAGACGGTATGTTGCATGCAATCCATGTAAGTCAGCGTAACAATACAGCACAGACTTACTTTTATCCAGAGTCAATCTTGATAACCCAAAATCCGTCAACTTGATTTTCCCTTCATTGGAGATTAGGAGGTTGTCTGGTTTGAGATCTCTGTGGTTTTTGAATAAAGACGGTAAAGGTAAAGAAAACAGTCAAGAAAACGCTTAAGATAAAAAATGTTTGAAAATAAGTACAGCACTTCCACACCTTTTAACAACTGCTATCTTCTAACGGTTTCCTCTTTCATGGTTACAGAGTGGGCAACTCAACTGTTTGAATCCAGATGTTAAGTGTTCTAAGTCGAGGGTAGCAAGGAGAAGGGTGTTGCGTTCTGGTTTCCCACACGAATGCGACCATGAATACTTTTAACAGTAGATTTATTCACAAATTCATGAATAATGTTTGCTTTTAGTCCCTTTTCACTCACCACACCGTAATTTTTGCACTCATAACCAAGTAATTTCAATTATTTTATCGCTGCCGGACTTTTCTTCAAAATGTGAATTTCCCCTGACTCAAAATAAAATTCCCTGACTTGTCCTGACCTTGAAGAATTTTATTTCTCCAGCCCATTCTCTGAGCTGTGGCAATCCTGATAATATCATGGAAGTTTGAAGGGGCTCATTGACTAGGTTTTGAATGTTCTTTTAGAGTGGTTTTCAATTGAGTGTCGTAAAACCAAAACCAGACCAATTACTTACCAATAATTATTAGACTGCTCAGCCAATCTCAAACCGTAGTAAAACCAAAACCAAAACCAAAGTAATTGTCTAATTACTTTCGACACTCAATTGAAAACCGCTCTACCATTCTATTTATTAATTACATCAAGGAAAAGACTATATTGACAAGGTTTGGAGTCAATTTTCAGCACTCTTGGATCACTACAGTACCGCTCAAAAGTAAGTTACCACCCACACAAGACTCTCGTCTCGCGAGAGCTTGAAAAAACTGTAAGTACCACCGCTTGAATTTCTCGCGAGACTTTAATAGCCTATTGTAATGCGAACTTGCAAGCACGCAGAAAATTAGCCAAGCGTAACTTCGCGCGCTCGAACGAAGCGTTTGCCGAACTCTGTTGTTTGGTTATCACGTTCATTTGAGATTTGACTCTTAAACTTTTCAAATCTACTTGGCTCAATAGTCGTATCCAAGAATATGCTGCAAAGTTTACTATTTTAAATGGAAATCACGTCGTTCGTGGGCTTAAGGAAAAGTGCTCAAACCTGTACGATGAAAGTTTGCCGATCGATCGTATCGTCCTCTTTTGTCAACTACATAAAGCGAAAGTCGTGGATATTGAAGTTATTTATTTACTTTAACCGGTCATTTAGAAAGGTTTGTAGACCTGGAAGAAAGCAGTGATGAAAACAGTGTCATGTTTAAAAGCAAATAGGTACAGAGACTTCTTGGCTTTTGTGTCATTCGCATTTTTCAAGGTCGATGAAATTGATCATTTAGATCGACGATCAACGGGCGTTATTGACTCTTTGCTTCTTAGCGTGTTCAGTAACACAACTAATCTTTAAGAGACTGCAATGTGCTTCTTTTACTGGGTAAACATTTGTTTATGAAACTATTTCAAACCTAGATTATGTTTAAAAGCGTCATTTGTTTCTAGAGTTTCAATCGATCGACTGAACAGAATTGGTTTGTGCCACATACTGTATGGTCGACAAACAAATTTTATAACCATCGGTTTTTGACGGGATAAAGGTTTGCGTTCAAAACTTCTATAAAGCTCTTCCCCTTCCATATTTTGAAAGGCTTCTGTTTCGTCTTAGCGTTCTCCGAAAGCGTTCCATCGATCGATTGAACTCCCTCNTTTCCTCGTCTACACGACTTCGGAGTCCGAAATGGGGTACGCATGAGAGGTGCTGAGGTGTGGTGCCACTGGTGGGACACCTCCATTGGACCCGGTGTACTTTTGGAACTAGCGCAACTTTTGAACGTGACGTCCATGGGCGAATTGGAAGCAACGGGCAGGCTTATGTCCATATGCGAGTCTGGCGTGCGATTTAAATTCCCTTCCTCGACAGTGTGCTTTTGGTCACTCGAAGGACCATTCACAAAAACCTCGCCTCCGGCAGACTTTTTAGCCACTGCTTGTTCGACTTTAATTTCTCGCACGTCTTCTTTGTCTTCGAATTCAATTGTTATGCTTCTTTCACGGGGAATGGCGTGGCCAACCTTCGAAGGTAAGCCAAATGGCGATAACAAACCAGCTTCTTTCGCAACATCGGCAGTAATCGTTTCAAGATGCGCGTTTTTGTCGACCACACTTGGTGAAGGCGGGAGTAATGAGATCCCACTCTCACGCCTTCTCAACAAACCAACTGTTTGCATAATTTCGTCTGAAATTTCAATTTTCGCTTTATTCGGAGTCTGAATTTTCTCTTTCTTTTCACCTGGATCTTGACTTGGCCAGTTATCACAGTGGCTTTCATTGAAGCCTGAACTTCCAGTTGTATCTGCTTTGTCACTGGTCAGCCTAACAAAATTGTGGATTCTGTCTGCAAAATCACAGGCGCGAGCCAATTTCTCGCTTCTGACTAGGTCGTTGTTCTCTTCGATAGATAACTCGCTTAAAGCTTTATCCGGAGATTCCCGGTCGATTGCACTTTCTTCTTCACACGAGCTATTCGTTCCGCTAGCATAGCCTGAAGTAAAAGGCACTTCGGGGGACACAATTCTACGTGTCACAGACGTCAAAGGTGTTAAAGTACTGATGGCTTGTCCTGTCTCCGAGCCCTCATGCTTTGCAGGGGTGACTTGCCCTTTCTCGCTCAAAAACTCGAGAATGGTCCCACTTCGTTCACGAGGACTGGAAAATGTAAGACTTAACGGTGCACAAGGTGAAGGGTTCGACGGAGTGAGAAATTCCTGCCTGCTTGGCGGGCTCCCTTCATTGCTCTTCGAGAGAGGGCTTTCATATTTACATTCCATTGGGCTGTTGTGCCTGACAGACAAACTCAAAACAGGTGCATAAGAGGATACAGAATCCATCGATAACGGAGCAGCAGCTATGTCCAAAGGCCTCTGTGGTGTACAAGCGCTAATCTCCTGTAACGGACACCTCGATGAATCGTCTCCCGAGGCTCCTCGTAGACCTTTGAGTGTTAACGCATCTATTTCACCGGTGAGACCTGTGTGTCGAGGTCGTTTTGAAGCTGGCATTTGATTCTCCTCTTCAGGTGATCTGTTTCTGACATTTTTGTGTGCCATCAATTTGGGTACAAGAGGCGTTTCAGGAGGGTCATCGACGTGAAATGTTCTTTGGCTGACTTTGGGACAGAATTGGGTTCGCTTTTTCGTGCCCTGAGCTGCAAAAGATCAGTAAACATAAGATGTTACCATACTTGTCCCCAGATCTATCTGCCTGTTACTTTTAGGCTGAGGGGGCACGGGGAACAAAATGTTGACCTTGATAATTCAACTGCATTAACTATCCGCTTTTGACCTGTTTTCATTTTCCAATGTTCTGATCTACAGTTTATCATCAGGGAAAGAACTTGAACTCTTTTCTCTAGGCACTCGAAATAACTCCCTCCCCCCCTCTAACTCTTGCTTATTCGGAGTCCCAAGAGTTTAATCCTTGAATAGCTTATATGCTACACCCCTCCCCTAACCCATTGTTCCACTGTTAACAGAACTGTTTGCCAGCTTCGTACATGTCACCCCAATCAAAACTGGTACAACGTTTTTAAAGTTAGTGTTGATCAAAAACAAACAGCCAGCTGGTAATGAAATAGGAAAACCAAGCCTCTTTTCTTTAATATCATTAATGTCAGTGTAATTTATGCGATGCAATGGTCTTTGTTGGGGTGACATCTCCTTGCATACGGCAGGTGTGCGCCCGAAATTTGAATTGACCAATCAAGATTCAGCAGACGGCAAAAGCTGTACTGTCCTGACGTCAATGTAAGTTAACAAGGTATCGAAAGGTATCGAAGTCGGGCAACTTTTCTCATTGGAGACACCATTTACTATCCACGAAAAGGGACTTATAATTCAAAAAACCATATCAGACTGTAAAGAGTAAAAAATAGAAACATTTTGTGTCTCCAAGCTTTTAATTTGGGGCCGAAAATGGATCGGTTACTCGCTGTTCGATCGCTGTCGCCAGGAAGGATAATTGTTGAATCGTTTTAAACAAAATAATTATGCTGATCCTCGTCAAATTAAACCCAGATTTCGCGAGTTTAGCATTAGAAGAGGTCAAAGCAATTTAGCAATGTCCATATTTTTTTTTGTTAGCCGCAAAGAAAAAGACTATTGGTAATTTTAATTTGAAAACGATCTCTGGCTGAAACGATTAAAAAATCACAAGCTTTCGACTGCCTGAATCACAGTCTTCGACGGGTAAGAACATTTTACCCGTCGAGGACTGTAGTTCAGGCAGTCGAAAGCTTGTAATTTTTAATCGTTTCAGCCAGAGATCGTTTTTAAATTTTACCATGTGTTATCCTGGCTGCGGCCCTTCAATATTTTCAAAAAGACCATTATCGTGTCATTTCGGCAGGACAGCTCGGTTTTGACTACCGCTTGTTCTGCGAGCACAGACACCGTATGCATGACTTTCTTAAAATGGTAAGGTGCGTCAAAATGCACAAATTGTGCGTTGCGATGTCATTGTTTATTATTGGAATTTTAGCTCACCTCCAGTTGCAGCAAGAGGGGTCTGACCACCAGGTGGTTCCAATACCCCTGCGGGGGATCCTTCGGTGCGACTGACTGAAGAGCCATTCCTCAAGGGTGTGGTTTCCATGTGTTGGTGTAATGTTGTACAGCTGCTGTTAAGCCTCGATTTCTGTGATGGCCTCGCTGCAGACAAGGACTGAGGAAAGAACAAGAAATGTGAATCTACTTGAGCCTAATGCTCTTTTGTAGTAAGAAAGAGAAATACATGTAAAGACCATCAGAAGTATTTTCAGGCTTAAGCCGGTCTCTCTCTCACAATGGATTATGGACAAGTATCATGTTTCAGCCGGCCAAAGTTTTCTTTCGGTTTTCTGTCGCTGCAACAGTCAAGATTTCATGTGACGTATCATACTGGATATATACTATAAGCTAGCCCACCATAAAAACAATTAAGTTGCACTCCTTTGGGAAACAAGTTCTATTTTGCGCAAACAATTCCTTATGGAAAAACTCTACAGAGGGACTCTGCAAGGTAAGATCTCAATATGCAAAGAGCCAGTTTCCCAGGTGTGAGTAAACAATTTCTTATGTGCCACGTTAGGATTTCATGAGACAAAAAGAGTAAAAGATGAGCGATCAGAGAGTGGAGATTGGACAAAACTACTTACGAATGTGAAATTTGAAGTTAGTGATAGCACTTGGCCTGGAGTTCTGAAGAAATTTGACCCAGTCTTGTCAGCTTTATTCAAAGATGGCGTACTCATGACATCAATAAAGCTCGGCTCTGTATGCAGAATTTTAAAAATGATATACATTTAGTAACTCTGTGCACACTAGCTCTTCCCATGGCATTTTAGAAGGAATGCTTTGTCCTTGACGTGGTTTACAGGCTGTCTGGGAATAATTATGAAGTTTAACTTTGACTCGCTGTCTGTGATTTACCAAGCATTACATTATTGACAGTAATGCCTGCAAACATTCCACAAGTTTAATCTGTTGCTTTGTACTGTAGATCAACAAGTCATCTATCACGAATGCCGTTCTTTTACTACTCAATTCCTGAGCAGAAATGTTTCGCTTTTTGAGCTCAGCTATTGCAGTTCGACTTGAGGGCAATTCTTAAAGCATAGCAGGACTCTTAAAGACGGTATGTTGCATGCAATCCATGTAAGTCAGCGTAACAATACAGCACAGACTTACTTTTATCCAGAGTCAATCTTGATAATCCAAAATCCGTCAACTTGATTTTCCCTTCATTGGAGATTAGGAGGTTGTCTGGTTTGAGATCTCTGTGGTTTTTGAATAAAGAAAGGTAAAGGTAAAGAAACCAGTCAAGAAAATGCTTAAGATAAAAATGTTTGAAAATAAGTACAGCATTTCCACACCTTTTAACAACTTCTAACTTCTAACGGTTTCCTCTTTCATTATTACAGAGTGGGAAACTCAACTGTTTGAATCCAGATGTTATGTCTTCTAAGTCAAGGGTAGCAAGGAGAAGGGTGCTGCGTTCTGGTTTCCCACAGGAAAGCGAATGCGACCATGAATACTTTTAACAATAGATTCATTCACAAATTCATGAATCATGTTTGCTTTTACTCCCTTTTCACTCACCACACAGTAATTTTTGCACTCATGCATGACCAAGTAATTTCAATTATTTTATCGATCCCTGACTTTTCTTCAAAATGTGAATTTTCCCTGACTCAAAATAAAATTCTCTGACTTGTCCTGACCTTGAAGAATTTTAATTCTCCTGCCCTGCATTCTCTGAGCTGTGGCAATCCTGATTATCACGGAAGTTTGAAGGGGCTCATTAACTAGGGTTTGAATGTTCTTTAACCTTTCCATTTACTAATCACATCAAGGAAAGACTATTGACAAGGTTTGGAGTCAATTTCCAGCACTCTTGGATCACTGCTACCACAGCCAGTCTGCATGGCAAGCATTTATTCAAACTGGCTAATAAACATGACATAATGGGAATTATATGAGATGAACCTGTGAATAATGCCATGTTTATGAAGATACTCCAAAGCCAGAACAACCTGTTTTGAGAAAACAAAAGATTGTTGATTGTTGATTGTTGATTTATGTGTGTAAAATTGCTCTGCAGCTACTGCAATCCACCTAGCAACAGGGAACAAGTTACAATGTATAAACAGATGGCACAACACCATACTCATTCATCAGCTAAAACTTCGTAATCAAATTATATATAATTATGTTAGGCAGCACATGGAACCAAGTGGTCAACAAGGCCAATAATTATATGAACTGTAGCACAGGGCAACATTACTGGATGGATACCCAGGCTACCTTCAGCATTTCCCTACAACTGAACACAAGCATTACCGGCCTACAACTGGGCACAAGCCAGGCACTGTGAGAGTTAAATTAGTGTCTCTTCCAAGAACAGACATGTAACAAGATAATTCTGGTCCCTAGAGTCACCCCTCTCTCTTAGCCAGCTTTTCCTTGGTACACGTAAATGGTGGCTTTGAAACACATGATCTGCTTGGCTAGACTGTGGGACAAAGAATTTCACCGATTCAATGCTAGTTTTGCTCCCAAAATGTTAGTCAGTGCTCAGGCAGCCGTTTTTTCTGTGTCTAGTCATTGCAAACACAAAAGGGTGGTTGGCGGTGGCCAAGTAGGGAAGAAGGCAGGACAAGAAAGCGATATGAGCCAAAATGTCTCACCTCATAACCCCTACTGAATTTTAAGAGAAACACAGTAAAAAGGTCCACTGGTCGAACTCTAACTAAAAACATTCGATTACAGCACTGTACAGATCTCAGTCAGTAGATTTTAACAACAGGAATTAAATACAGATTAGTAAAATTCTGACCGAAAGTGGCATTCATGTTTTGTTATGGAGGATTTAAGTAAAAATTATCCTTATACACATGTAAGCCAGTTTTAAACTTCCTGATGGTTCACAGGTACATGTACTGTAAAGGAATAGTAATATTTTAGGTACATGTAGAAACTAGCCAGTGCATATTTTCAGGTTGCATACAATTGCTTCAAACTAAATTTCTCAAGATTAAAGAGTTGAAAGAGCAAAATTGGTCAAGTTACATAATTACATATATGTACAGTGGAACTCTGTTAATCTGGTCACCAATGGGCCACAAAAATCTGGCTGTATTAACAGGGTGGCCATATCTGACTGCCTGAGATTTTGTTCGGGCCAGAATAAAGTGGCTGTAATAACAAGGTGACCAACTATGAAGGCAGTTTCACTCTATCTGGTTACAAATCAAAAGAAACATTTTCATGCACTTGATCTGGTTTGAAATTTTATAATCAAGCAGCTTGATTTTTGGTTTCCTCAGTTTCACATTTTGACAAAAAACACTGTGTAAAGGAAATCAAATATCAAACTGATGTGCTGGTCATTTAAGGCACCTAGCAATTTTTAAATTAACTCTGACATAAAGAAAAATATTCAACCTGTGCTATATAAATTCTTGACATGTTCTCATCAAAATATCCCAGGTTATGCAACAAAGATTTGCAGTCTCCTCCAATTAAGTACTCCATGACCTATATCAAGAACAATTGATATGAGTTATTCAACGTCATCTTGTGGCAAGTGAGAAAAAAGAAAGAAAAAAAAATTTACGTATCAATGAGATTTAGCATTGCTTCTAATTGTGGACACTTAAAATGAGTTATGAGTTAAACTAATGTTGGCTTAATTGTTGTTAGAAAGGCTGCATTGTGTTGATAGCCCTTTTTTTTAACCTGGATTTTATCATTCCTTCCTTTCTCAACTCCATAAACCATAAATTCAGTAATGTTCAGCATAATTATTTAGTTGTAAGTTGCACATTTTGTAAATTTATTTGTTAAGTTTTAGAAATTGAGACAATTTAATAAATAGCTTATTCTCAGTAGTTCTAAATAAATAGGCCAGTGTCTGATTGCATAATTGAGCTAAAGTTTGAATATCAATGTGTGCATAAACCTAAGCCTTGCAATAATTCAAGGAATCCTTTGTTTGGAAACATAAGCTAAGCTTTTCAGTAATGTTCATCTACTAATTGATACTTATTCAAGTTCTGAGTGCCATTTATAAATTTAGTCTAGGACAATGAGTACATAATACAGTGCTGGTCAAATGTGAGTTGATAGTCACGTGAAACTTGAGCAGGTCGACTCAATCTTCAATCCTCAATACTGAAAAATGTTATGAATTGATCAAGCTTTGAGTCAAGTCCTTTTCAACTTTCCAATCTAGTTGTTAGGGTTTCGAGTCAAGTCACTGGAGCTTCCATTTGTTGTTCACTGCTATTTTTATTTACTTAAGAGAAATAAATTGTTCCCTTGGAAATTTTTTGGCCGTCTTCAAACTTGAAATGCAAAACTCAACCCTTGAGACTTGAAACTCAAGCCCCAAAACTTGGTTCTTAAATCTCAAAAGCATGAAAGGTGAAGAATTGAGTTTCAAGTTGAGACTGTCAACTTACATGTACATTCGACAGTACTGTAAATAAACCCTTACCAGAAAAATTCTGTCTTTTGATTGAAAGGAATAGAATAAGTTCACAATATAAGGACTCTTTGCAATTGCCAGGCAATCCCTTTCAGCTACAACTGCAGAAAGGGAATATTAAATGAATGGTTAATCAATCATAAATTCAGCGTTTAATTTATGATGCTGCAACTATTAATCACACATAAGGTTGAAACATTATCTGTTTTCATGTCTCTATGCCATCCATGACCACCCCTGTCACAGCATCCTTATCACCTTTATCCTGCACACTTCCACCACCCACCACCCTCTTCCAGGTTCCTCTAGGTGTCCCCAATTCTATTCTGCTCACTCATACCCCTGAGATTTTAACTTTGACCCTATTTTTAATGATTTCAGAAATTCCTGCCTCCCCTGTTACCTTTTCAAAATCTGATGCAAAGACATGTAGTCTGAAAATAAATGTGATCACTCTATAAAGTTTATGCATAAAAATTTTAAAGCATCATTTAAGGTTAGATTCTCTCAAGGAAAATGGGAGAAATTTAAGAAAACAGTAACAAGGAGTTCATAACTTTGATGCAACTTGAAAAGGGTTAAGGAGATAGACAGCAAACTTAACCATTATTTACCATGTTTACCTTGTTCTATCATATTTTTATTAACAACGTCCGTCTTCTTGACAACCTTGACAGCATAAAATTGTTTGTCTTTGTCTCTTCTACGAGCTAGAAATACCTGCCTGCAAATGTTAAATTAAACAAATATTACCTGCAAACAAATGTCAGCACATAACAAATGAAGCTATTTTAAGCC